CTATGCTTGTTGGCCAATTTGTGCACATTTGTGCAGTGCTTTACGAATAGACAATTGGTGAAGAGAATGACCAGTTTTTATTCGCTGGGAGAAATGCCCTTCTCTTTTTAAGTTGTATCATGGGATCTTTAACATGCACTTGAACAGGCAGATGTAAGCTTGGTTTAAAGTCTCATCCAAAGAATGGAGCCTCTGGCAATGTAATGCTCACCAGCACTGCATGAGAATGTCAGCCTAAACTATGAGCTCAGATTCACAAAGTAGGACATGAATCCGCAACTTTTTGATTCCAAGACAAGAGTGTGCCTAACTGAGCCGGGTTGACACCTGTAGGTCGACCTCACTCAGGTGATAAGTGGGGGATCCTGCAGAGCACTGACAACAACAACTTGTACTTATATAGTGCGCTCTTAATAGTGGTGGACCCTGATTCCGAGCCAGGGGGTGGGTGGGGTTTGGGACAGGTGGCCGTAAGCACGGTCGAAGAGGAAGGTTTTCAGCAGGACTTGAAAGGGAGAGAGTGGGGGCAAGGCAGAGGGTTTGAGGGAGAGTGTTCCAGAGTTTCGGGTCGTAGTGGCTGAAAGCGTGACCTCCGATGGTGGGGCGGAGGTGTGAGGGACGAGCAGGAGACTGTGCCAGTCGAGTGGAGGTGCCAGGTGGTGGATTGGGGAGTGAGGAGGTCGGAATAGTTTTAAGAAGCATGCAGAAGACCGATATAGTGCATAATAATTAACCTTATATTTTTGAGGTAGTTACAGATAAAGTACACAGCAACACTTCCTAAACTAGCAATAGTTTAAAATTTTCAAGAAACTTTCAACAAATTTGAGAAGGATGAGATCAAAAGAACCAAAGGGTATTTTTCATCTGAAACTCTCTTGTGGTCTTGTAGCTTATAATTACAATATAAAATAATATTTTTATAGCGCCTTTCACTTCAGGATGACGTCCCAAGGCGCTGGACAGTCAGGGATTTGAACCCAAGCTGGGGGATGGGATCGGGGACCGTGAAGGGAGGTTAGAGGGTGGCCGAAGGTGCGGTCGAAGTGGAGGGTTTTGAGACTTGCCTTGAAGAAGGCAAGGGATGGAGCGAGGTGGAGGGAAAGTCAGGAATAGAGCATGAAACTGGCTTGAAGGAATGTTGTTCTGGATCTAATAAATGTAGAGTAAAAAGGTTCTAGGTAGGAATATCAGAAATTTTGAGAACAGAACAGCAACTACTTATATATCGTCCTTCATGTGGGTGGTGTCTTAGAGAACTTAACAGTGCTGGAGCTTGATGTAGAATCAGGGAGAGAGGGGAAGTAAATATAGGCAAAGTTGCAAAGGAAGATCTCCAAGTGCGATCTGAAGGGGTACAAGGCAGAGGGACTGAGGCACAATTCAATCTTTTTTTTAAAAAATCAAGTTTTGGGGTGTAATGTCTGCAAGGGCGGCCGCAGATGGTAGACTGGAGGAGTCGAGGTACGGGTTGAAGGCTGGAGTCAGCTGAGGGACGGAGATGGTTAGTGCATGGATTGATTTTTAAATATGTGTGAGGATCTTGAAATCGATCCGCTCTGAAATAGGGGCCAGTGGAGCCTGGCAGTGACTGGGTATGGGTGAGAATACAACAGCTGATTTTTGGATCAATTGAATTTTGTGAGTGGTGGACCTGGGAAGCGGTGCATGGATGAGCAAATCGAGGCAGGAGATGACAAAAGTTTGAATGAGGGTTTCAGCTCTGTTGGATATGAGGTATGGGTGGAGGTGGAGGCAAGTAGTCCTGGTTAGGGACTGGATGTGGGGAAGCTTGATGGCTTTTAAATTAAATAACTTTAAATGTATTAATTTTACTTGCTTCACTGATCTTTCCTGAAAACTTATTTTATATTTCTACTACTTTTTTTTGGAATTGCTCTACCTACAATTTTCTTCTTTTAAAAAATGTGTCTTCTACTTTAAGAAGCTTTCATTATTGTTCACTATTTGTCTACATCAACTTTTTCCAATACCTTTTAACTTTGAACATTTATATTATGTCACCTTGAAGCCTTTTCCAGTTGGCAATACTTTCAACTTGCTTTAATTGTTTCTTATAATTGAGTCTGAAGATTAGATTAGAAGGTGTAAAAGTCTATTCACCCATTATTGCTCATTATTGAAGGCAAGGATAAGAACGCTGAAGTTATTTTTGAATTCAGAATGGTAGATTTCCATGTAATTTGAGGCTGCCCTGTTAGTACTACACAAAACAATGCTGTATTGTTGCAAATTGGTTTCAAACATTTTATTAGATTAAACTCATGAATGTTTTATGGAGGCAGTTTCCTAAATTTATTACATTAATAACCAATCATCGCAATCTTATGAGGAAATTAGAGTGAAGCTTATATTTTGAAATGTAGTTTTGCCTAATACAAAAATTTGTTTGCATGGTGGGTGGTTTTGTGTTCCGTTGAAGGCTCTCTTAAATGATTGTCTTAATTATCTAGTCTGTAATCCAATTATTTGAACATAGATATTCAGTGATTTATAGCACTGATTATTCTTTATATGTAATTTTCTGTTACAACTATTATTATAATGTAGTTCTCCTTGAGAAAATATAACTTTACCTATGTATTTGATCAACCATTTCAGAAGACAAATAAGGATTTTTAAGGAAAGTAAGCTCCCAATTGAGGCTCCTGTGGAATTTGGCCCATGCTCCCTTTCCACCTTTTTCAAAATAGGTCTGACAAAAGCAAAACCCATTAATCTGATCTTTATTGCAATGCATCTTAGGCTGACAGCTAGTGTAAGTGGACTCTTGTCTCTGTGTCTTGATCAATTTTATACATTTTCAGTTCATGCACGATCCAGAAAGAAATACTTACAACAATAAAGCTTAAACATTGCTTAGCTTTATTGAAGTATTAATCCTAAACCATTAAAACAAGTTCTCCCTCTGTATCCTTTTTATTTCATTTTTATTTTGTACAATGTTGCAGTTCAGAAATGGGCCAATTGGCCCATAAAGTCTGCTCTCGTGTTTTCTCCTTGTTAGACACCTAATCTAATCCCAATTTTTTGCTTGAACCCCATAACCTTTAATATTTCTTGTTTACACATATATATCTATTTCCTTGTTAAAAGATGTTTTGGATTCCCTTCCTTACATATGATGGCAGAGAATTCAACAGTCCAACTATCCTTTATGGGAAGATTTATTCCTGACCACTTTTTAATAATTTTTGTGATTTTTTTTGGTGTCCTTATTTTCTGATGCTTCAAGTCTAATCTCTTTTGGGCCGAGGTAAGCGGGGTCTCCTTGAGCTGAACTGGCTTCAAGATGACATGCCTGGCAATGGAATGTCAGAATCGAGCCAGCCATCTGTGGCAGTCTCGGTAGTTCACTTCCTAAACCAGGCAGCTCCGCAGTATTCCAGGGCACTGTTGATGACAGCACAGCCAACCTGGCTTATTGGCAGGACTTGGAAGGGCAGACCAGTCATTGGGGGCAGGGAGTCATCCCACTCAGCTCCTGTTAACCGTGCAACCCATATCTCTAATGGGTATGGTGTCCAAGCTGGACAAGCAGCGGGAAAGCTTGCTGGACAGCAATATCAATAGGTTTTAGCTTGTTAGAGTCCAGCAGTAGTACAACGTACCTCCAGGGTCCCCAGGCTTTGGTTCTTGCCAACTTGCGCCTAATACTTTCCGGAATTAGGTAAGCAAGATGCATCCTTCCAGGGAGAGAGTCCACATTCCATTCCAACAATCTATCTCTGGGATTTCCGTCTGTAGGTAGGATACATGGAAATCTCAGGTTGATTTGAATACTCTTAAGCATGGTGATAAGTTTCGTAATGTGACCAGCTGACCAAAAAAATATCATGTTTCAAGTTTACTATCCCCCTACCTACCCGCCCGTACCCTCCGTTCCTCTGGCTCCGGTCTGCTCCACATCCCCCGCCCCAACCGCCCTACCATCGGTGACCGGGCCTTCAGCCTCTCAGCCCCGAGGCTCTGGAACTCTATCCCCCAGTGCCTTCGCCTTGCCTCCTCCCTTTCCTCCTTCAAGGCCGGTCTCAAGACCTTTCTCTTTGACCGTGCCTTCAGCTCCCCTCTCGACTCTCTACCCCCTCCTCGCTCCCTCCCTTCCCTCCCCTCACCCTGACCATTTCCCCCCTGCTCAGGTCCTGACCCAACTGTCCAGCGCCTTGGGACGTCCTCCTGACGTGAAAGGCGCTCAATAAATGGAATCTTGTTGTTGTTGTTTAAAAGTTTAGGTTTCTGCTTCTTCTAAACTTTCATTGTCCATTTGAAAAGTGGGGGTGGCTTTTTTTAAAATAAAGTTTCACTAGTTGGAAAACAGTTGCTACTAGTAAAAAGTTAAAAAGATTGAAAATTGGTGATGCAGGAGTAAGGGGCAATTTTTAAGTCAAGTTAAATCAGGAACGCACCTCCTCCTCACAGTGGTCTTATGGTAAATTTAAATGAGAGGTGAGAAAATCATTCTAAATAGTACACAGTTGAAAGCAAGTTTAGAAAATGTTGATTTGGGTAGTCATGAGGTTTCCACATCAGGTTGTGTGAAAAATATTTCAGCACAGATGTTAATTTGCAATCCCCATCATTGGTTGAATTTATTTTTCATAATATTTGCTTGCTAACTAGTTAATCTTTGAAAAGGACTTCCCTACATATGTGGTTACATATTAAAAAATGATTCGTTCACATGGTAGGCTTTTACAAAATGCACAGAAATGTTGAAATTAGTTATTTCCAATTCTTGGATCTTGGTATGTGTAAATGGACGCAGATCTGCTGTTGCAGCAATGAGAAGGTTTGAGGAGACACATTTGTCTTCTGTACTCATAGCAGTAGAGTAGAATGTTTTGGAAATACTTTTGTAATTTTCTTTCAGTGTAGAATGGTTGAAAAATTGTATTCATAAACGTTGCTCCAATCTTCTTGATATTAGCAATATGCAGTTTTTTGCAGGACCATAACTTTTTCTTTGTTTGCTGTTTCAGATGGGCTCAGTATTGCTGGTTTGGGATTTTCAAGTCCCTTCCGGCAAAACGGCAAACCTCGGTCAGAGAGCAAATCTACGCTCTTCAATTCAGCTGAGACCAACAGTAAAAGTGAATACAACCACATAAAGGTATGATCCTATTTGCCCCACATATTCCAGGATTTTGTATTTATAAAATAATAGTATTTGTGGATAGTTTGAAGTATAATTTGTTCGACACATTAACTGAAATTTATCATTTATCACACAAGGAAGCTCTGCCTTTGGTAGTACAGATTGTTGTAAACAAAAGAAGTGGAAATGTTTCAGCCTCAGTATTCTGTGAGATTATGGCTGCAGAGTGATTTGTCATCCATTCAAAATGGTCCAAGATAAAAATGAAGTTTCAAGAAAAATATAGAAGAGCAAAACTGTCAGTGTTGGAACTCACGTGTGGAATGTGCTAGTCGTACACTCCAGATTAACTGGAATCTGTGGCAGAGAGGATGGATTGACAATTTGGGTGTCATTCTTCAACAACAGGTGGAGGGTTTTACCTGAACCATTGACTTGTTCTCTTCTACAGCTGCCTTCTTCTGCTCAGAACTTTGTAAAGCACTTTGAAATGTTCTTCCATTGTGAAAGGTGCCACACAAGTGTAAAATGGTGTTTACGTTTTTCAGATATTTGCTTTACAGATAGTGAATATATTTATTCTAAAGATTTTGATCTACTATGTGCATTGAAATGAAAGCTAATGTTGTGGAATGAATTGTTGTTAGAACAGTGAATTATAATTTAAAGCATCTTACATGAAAGTTATTTAAATCACAATTGGCAATTGAATAAAAATCCAGAAGACAAGAATGTCAAATTGTATTATAAGGATTAGCCATATTATTGATCGTATTAAGGGACTCTACATTGTGATTGTACAAAGCTCTGAAGTATTATCTCCAGAGAAAATGCTATCAGTTAATAATCTCGCTTTGGGAATTGAATTTATATTGTCTAAGATGACATTTCATTGCAGTACTTGGTGAGGGGTGCTGGATTGTTGCAGGTCCTTCCTTCAGTTGAGATGTTAAACTGTGGTTCTGTCTGCCTGCTCACGTGGATATTAAAGATCCTATGGTGCTATTTGAAAAGCATAGAGAGTTTTATATAATAATAATAATCCTTGCATTTGATATAGCGCTTTTCACGTCTTCTTGACGTCTCAAAGCGCTTCACAGAATAGACTGTAAAGTGAATTGACCATATATTTGTGGGCGAAACGTGGCAGCCAATTGTGCACAGCAGTGTCCCACAAATAATCGTGGATTGAAAATAACCAACTTATTATTGTGTTGTTTTGGTGGGATTATTATTAGGCGTGTGGAGTAAGGAAACTTGCCCAAGGTTTCGCCATTTTTGCCCGGTTTCCTGGCAAACAATCCTGCAAGTAAAATTAATTTCATGTCTGTTTGTGGGATATATAATAATCCCTCCAAAACCAAAAACAATAATAAATTGGTCATTTTCAATCTATGACTGTTTGTGGGACATTGCTGTGCGCAATTGGCTGCCGCGTTCGCTCACAAATATACAGTCAATTCACTTTACAGTGTGTTCTGTGAAGCGCTTTGGGACGTTCTCCCGACGTGAAAAGCGCTATATCAAATGCAAGGATTATTATTATTTCTGTGTGTAATTGTGCTGCTGCATTTGCCTACGAATACACAGTCACTCCATTTCACAGTAAATCATGTGAAGCGCTTTGAGATGTCCTTCCGACGTGATAAGGCACTATACCAAATGCAAGGATTATAATAATAATAATGGGAAATGGAATGTCATAATCTGGTTCATGATAGAACCAACTTCACTGAAGGAAAAAACATGCTTCAAGCTTCTTGAGCTGATCCCTTTACATGATGCCATACTTATATCAATGAGAGATTGCTTAAATCTGGTGATTAATTAATTGGTAATTTTAAGATCTTTGAGAAAACTACACTCTGGTTGGCAAATGGATAAATAAGATTTGTATTTCAGTACTTGTAATTTTCATTAGTGTCATTTTTGCATAATTTGCTGCTTTACCTCCACCTCACTGAGCCAGTATGGGGTCTTGGTGTCCTGATCGACTCGCAACTTTCCTTTAAACTCCACATCCACAACATTGCCTGCCTCCACCACTATCTCTCACCTAAGGTCGCTGAGGCCCTCATCGATGCTTTCATCAGTCCAGGCTTACTGCGCTAACTCCCTGCTCGCTGGACTTCCCAACACTTCCCTCCACAAGCTGCAGATTATTCAGATCCCTGCAACTCGTGTTCTCGCATGCACCAAGTTCCGTGAGCTGATCACCCCTTCCTCGCCCAGAGGATCGAGTTTCTAAGATTCTCGTCATCACTTTTGAAGCCCTATATGGTCTTCCCCTCCCTAACTCTGCAACTTGCTAAAATCTTACCTGCCTGCATCCTCTGCTCGGTGGGCACTGTCCTGCTCCTTGCCCCTCCTTATAATAATAATAATAATAATCACAATAATAATCCTTGCATTTGATATAGCACTTTTCACATCTTCTAGACGTCCCAAAGCGCTTCACGGAATATACTGTAAAGTGAATTGATTGTATATTTGTGGGCGAAACCCGGTAGCCAATTGCGCACAGCAATGTCCCACAAACAGTCGTAGATTGAAAGTGATCAATTTATTATTGTTTTTTGTTTTGGAGGGATTATAGGCGTGTGGAGTAAGGAAACTTGCCCAAGGTTTCGCCCTGCCTGGAATTGAACCCAGGTGTCTCGCTTGCAAAACGAGTGCCCAACCACTGAGCTACAGGACTCCTTGCCTGAAGGTTGTGCCTTCAGCCTTCCTGCTCTCACCCTCTCAACTCCATCCTTTGCCTCGCCCCCTCCTTTGCCTCCTTCAAAGCTTATCTCATGACTTTCCTCTTTCACTGTACCTTTGGTCATTCTTCCCCCCCATCCAACTTGTCCTTCGCCCCTCTTGATTCCAACCGCAGCTTTGGTGCAAACCCTCGACTGTCAGCACCTTGGCATGTCCTCTCGATGTGAAGGTTGCTATATAAATGCAATTTTTTTAATGTTGTAGTTGCTGTTGTTGACCTGTCACTTTATGATAATTTAGGTGTGTATATGAGAAAAAGATGTAGTACTAATGGGAGAGCTATATCAAGCTAACATAAACCGTCACTGTGAGTTTGTTAAAGTTGCGCTTGACTGCTTCTTGACTCAATGTGTCAGGGAGCCCAAAAGGGCAGTTCCTTCCTTGACTTATTCAAAAGTCAGTAACTCAAATACTATTTAGGTAGTTGTTTTACCAGATGACGGTGACCATAGCTCAAGGTCATTTAATTTGACTTGGGAAGTGGCACGTGAGAGCATCAACCAGGACTATGAGCTCAAAGATCTGACATGGGTCTTGAACCCACCAAACCTTCTGTCTCAGAGTTGAGAGTGCTACCAGCTGAGCAGGCTGGCACCTATAGCCCATGAGGAAACGCACTATATCAGATTTTATAATAGCTAGTGTATATTCCAAATATTATTTACATTGTCAATTGGATACATTTGACAATGAAAGTTACTGGTCACCCACCCTGAAAAAAGGAGAGCAATTACAGCAAAAAAAACTATTTTGTTACAATAGACGTGACTGCTGAACTTGTTCTAAATGTAATAAATGTAATCTTGTTGTTGTTGGATCTAATTTTGTTGAGTGCCCTCAACATGATTGGCAAATAAATTACTCATTTAACATGAATTCTGTTAATATGATTTGCATAACTGAGTTCAAAGTATGTAACTGGAGAGGTTGTGTAAAAACCCAAGAGACTGTTTCGGTGAATTTTTATGGGTGGTTTATTTGGTGATGTATGTTCATAACATAACATGTAGGAGCAGGAGTAGGCCATTCGGCCCTTCGAGCCTGCCCCGCCATTCAATCATGGCTGATCTTCTAATCTAACTCCAGCTAATAACCTAACCCGGCCTTATCCCCATATCCTTTAATCTCTTTTGCAATAAGAAATCTATCTATCTCAGTCTTAAATATGTTCAAGGACTGAGCGTCAACAGTCCTTTGGGGTAGTGAGTTCCATACATTCACCACCCTTTGAGTGACGATCACTGAAGATTCCTTGGCTGACGAACTAATTCATAGACTTCTGTACTTTGTTTTATTCCAGCTGGCTAATCCAGGGTTCAAAATATGTTAACCTCTCTAGCTTTCTCTTTGTGTAGTTTCCGGTGTTTAATTTTTAACACCTAATATCTTTTTCTTTGTCTAATCGTATTACTACCCCTCTTGTATCAGATTAGGAAACCAATTGTTTCAGTTCTAGTGAAAAGATTTTTTTTCTATTTCAGACGCTGTATTTATTTCAGATGTCTAACATTTGCATTGTTTCGGCATCTCTTGCCAATTAAAATGAGTTCAGATCCATAGATATCATGCTCAAGATGTGCAGTGTTCTGGTCAGGCCATACCTAGAACACTTCACACAGTACTGGCAACTATGACATAAGGGGACTGACTGCCCAAGAACAGTGCAGAGGATAACAGCAGGATAATTCCCAGAGTTAGAGGAATAAGGTAAGAGCGGTGATTAGACATTGGCTTTTCAGTCTTGAGAAAATATGTCTCAGAGGGGACCTTTACAGAAGTGTACAAAATTTTAAATGGGATTGAAAATGTAAACCTAGTACAATACTTTAGAATGCATCAATTTCTATGATTCTATTGGCATTTTAAGGATAGGATGATTAATACTCTGTTTATACTGTCTATTTGTCAATTGTTTGTCTTCTGAAGGAGGTGGATGCTGGAGCAGTATGATTTGCACCTGTGTAAAATGTGACTCACACTAAGTTGTTTTACTGTGCTACTGTGAATGCTTTGGCCCATTATAATGAAGAATCTTTTTCAATATTTTGTTGCCAAAAAAGATTGTAGAAAGTCGCATAAATATGTTTTCACTTTTTACTTTAATTTGTGAACTTGTTCTGAGGATTGATGAGCACTGAAACAATGCTTTCCATCTATGTACACGGTTTTGGCCTGTGGGATTCTACAAACTTGGTTAACTGTGATCCTCCATCCTATCATTTGACACTGATTGATACTTTTTGAGGTACTGT